TAGGAGAAAGTACTCTGGCCTTTTATGACAGCACCGGTTGTTTTTTTTCGACTCTGCTTCACCTCCGTAAATAAGTAATTAAAGGAAAGGTCGCTGATCTGTTTGAATCCTCCTCATCTAGTTTTTTTTGTTTGTTTTTAATGATGCATTATTGCGTTAATTTGTTATATGAATAGACAAAGGTTATGCACTTTGTTTTCATAGCTGGTCAGTAAATATAACAAAGCAATGATTATTTTATTATTATTATTATTAAGCAATGACCTGATTTCTTATTTTTTTGCATATTTGTCACACTGACATGTTTCTGTTTTTATTAAAACTACATTCTAAATATACAATTTTAGCTTTTAAATGAGTTCATCTCTTCAGGTGATGAAAAAAACTATCCTAACCTGCCTGGCCTGATGTGATTAAGTTACGGCCCCTTAAACCTAATAACACAGTTAGTGATGATTTCATTTATTAGAGGCAGAAAAGCCCAAACCTAATCTGAAACTGCTTGTGGCACCGTTGGCAGCGAGAACTGCAATCAAGGGTCTAACTGTCAGTCTTTACATCTTGGTGTGGAGGAATTTTGGCTCCTTTTTTGCAGAATTGTTTTAATTCAGCCACAGGGGAAGGTGTTTGAGCACGAGTGCCAAGAGAATCCTAATCGGCCTAACGTCCGGATTTTGGCGAGGACACTTCAAAACATTCAGTGTTTTATTTTTGAGCCGTTTTGCTGTTATGTTTCCAATCATCGTCCTGCAGTTAAATAATATAAAAAGTGCCGTTTTTAATTGCTCAGATTATCTTTCTCTAATATTTGTTTGATGTGAATTGTGTGAGAAACGTGATAAATGGAAGTTGTTATAATTTTTACAGCAGTGTAATTGCTGTTTGCATCACTGGAGGCGAAGACACACGATCAGTTTCTGCAGTTATTCTATCATCACTTTCATTGGAACCATTTACATCATGTTATTTTTTTCTGTAAATATAAAAATAAAGAATAATGCTCGCTACAACTTCCAGATTGTTTCGGTTAATAGCTTGCGTGCTCTTTTTGTTGCTGCTGATATTCTCAACACACTTTGTGCTTGTGCAGGAAATGACCCATGAGGAGAGGTCGCTGATTCAAGATCTTGATAAGTGTAACTTTGGAGAAATCCATGCCATGCATAAAGCCAAGACAGAGGCCAGGAAAAATATGTCCAAGGAGGAGAAAAAGGTAAAGCTCGCGTTCCCTTCTTTGTGTTTGTATGCTGCTGTCTTCATAATGTGTAGCGTAATAACTGGAGTTAGTCCAGAGGAGCGCCCTGTCTGTTTCTGAGGTAACGCGATCTGAAATCTTTTCGTAGGCTTTGAAAGAGGCAAACCAGAAGATAGTGGATGAATACGGCTACTGCCTTCTGGACCACCACAAAGAACGCATTGGCAATTTTAAGATTGAGCCTCCGGGGTTATTCCGAGGTAGAGGCGAGCATCCCAAGCAAGGCATGCTGAAGAAGAGGATCCAACCAGAGGACGTCATCATCAATTGCAGCAAGT